TCGACGGTGACGGCGACGTCGACGCGCTCTCGGCGTCCTACGGCGACAGCACCGTCGCGTGGTACGAGAACGACTGCGCCACGCTCGCGCCCACCGAGGCGCCGTCCGCGAGCTTCAAGCCGACGACGAGCCCCGCGCCGACGACGGCGGCCCCTACGCCCCGACCGACGGTCTTCTGCACGAGCGTCGCGTTCTCCGAGCGGATCATCACGACGCTCGCGGTCAACGCTTACTCCGTCTTCGCGATCGACGTCGACGGCGACGGGGACGTCGACGCGCTGTCGGCCTCCTACACCGACGACACGGTCGCATGGTACGAGGACGACGGCTCCCAGTCCTTCACCGAGCGCATCATCACGACGCTTGCGGACGGCGCCTTGTTCGTCTTCGCGATCGACGTTGATGGCGACGGCGACGTCGACGCGCTCTCGACGTCCTACCTCGACGACACGGTCGCGTGGTACGAGAACGACGGGAGCCAATCCTTTACCGAGCGCGTCATCACCGACTCGGCGGACAGCGCCTGCTCCGTCTTCGCCATCGACGTCGACGGCGACGGCGACGTGGACGGGCTCTCGGCGTCCTCCCTCGACGACACGGTCGCGTGGTACGAGAACGACGGGTCCCAGTCCTTCTCCGAGCGCATCGTCACGACGCTGGCGGACTACGCCCAGTCCGTCTTCGCGATCGACGTCGACGGCGACGGCGACGTCGACGCGCTGTCGGCGTCCTACTACGACGACACGGTCGCGTGGTACGAGAACGACGGGTCCCAGTCTTTCACTGAGCGCATCGTCACGACGCTGATGGACGGCGCCAAGTCTGTCATCGCGATCGACGTCGACGGCGACGGCGACATCGACGCGCTGTCGGCGTGCGAGATCGGCGATGAGGTCGCGTGGCACGAGAACGACGGCTCCCAGTCCTTCACCGATCGCATCATCACGACGCTGGCGGACGGCGGCACTTCCGCCTTCGCGATCGACGTCGACGGCGACGGCGACGTCGACGTCCTGTCGGCGTCCTACACCGACGACACCGTCGCGTGGTGCGAGGACGACGGCTCCCTGTCCTTCACCAGGCACGTCATCACGACCCTCGCGGACAACGCCCAGTCCGTCGTCGCGATCGACGTCGACGGTGACGGCGACCGAGAACGACTGCGCCACGCTCGCGCCCACCGAGGCGCCGTCCGCGAGCTTCAAGCCGACGACGAGCCCCGAGCCGACCACGGCGGCCCCTACGCCGCGGCCGACGACGTTCTGCACGAGCGTCGCGTTCTCCGAGCGGATCATCACGACGCTCGCGGACGGCGTCCGGGGCATGTTCGCGATCGACATCGACGGCGACGGGGACGTCGACGCGCTTTCGACATCTCAAAACGACAACACGGTCGCGTGGTACGAGAACGACGGCTCCCAGTCCTTCAGGCAGCGCGTCATCACGGCGACCGCGGACGCTGCCTGGTCCGTGTTCGCCATCGACGTCGACGGCGACGGCGACGTCGACGCGCTGTCGGCATCCTACAGCGACAGCACGGTCGCCTGGTACGAGAACGACGGCTCGCAGTCCTTCACGGAGCGCGTCGTCACGATGCTGGCGGCCGGCGCCGTCTCGATCTTGGCCGTCGACGTCGACGGCGACGGCGACGTGGACGCGCTGTCGGCGTCCCGAGAAGACGACACGGTCGCGTGGTACGAGAACGACGGGTCCGTCTCCTTCACGAAGCGCGTCATCGCGACGCTCGCGGATGGCGCCATCTCCGTCTTCGCGATCGACGTCGACGGCGACGGCGACGTCGACGTGCTGTCGGCGTCCAACGAGGACGACACGGTCGCGTGGTACGAGAACGACGGGTCCCAGTCGTTTACCGAGCGCGTCATCACGACGCTGGCGGACAGGACTTGGTCCATCTTTGCGATCGACGTCGACGGGGACGGCGACGTCGACATGCTCTCGGCGTCCTACTACGACAGCACGATCGCGTGGTACGAGAACGACGGAACGCAAGCGTTCACGGAGCGCATTATCACGACGCTGGCGGAGGGCGCCTTCTCCGCCTACGCCATCGACGTCGACGGCGACGGCGACGTGGACGCGCTCTCGGCGTCCGTCACCGACAACACGGTCGCGTGGTACGAGAACGACGGCTCCCAGTCCTTCACCGAGCGCGTCATCACGACCTTGGCGGACGGCGTCCAGTCCGTCTTTGCGATCGATGTCGACGGCGACGGCGACGTCGACGCGCTTGCGGCGTCCTTCAACGACGATACGGTCGCGTGGTTCGAGAACGACTGCGCCACGTCCGCGCCCAGCGCGGCGCCGTCCGCGAGCCCCGCGCCGACGCTGAGCCTCCCGCCGACGACCGCGGCCCCGACGCCCCGCCCCACCATCTTCTGCACGAGCGTCGCGTTCTCCGAGCGCATCATCACGATGCTCTCGGACTACGCCTACTCGATCTTCGCTATCGACGTCGACGGCGACGGCGACGTCGACGCGCTCTCGGCGTCCCCCAGCGACGACACAATCGCGTGGTACGAGAACGACGGCTCCGAGTCCTTCACGGAGCGTGTCGTCACGACGCTCGCGGACGCCGCGCACTCCGTCTTCGCGATCGACGTCGACGGCGACGGCGACGTGGACGCGCTGTCGGCGTCCCGAGAAGACGACACGGTCGCGTGGTACGAGAACGACGGGTCCGAGTCCTTCACGGAGCGCATCATATCGAACTCGGCGGACGGTGCCATGTCCGTCTTCGCGCTCGACGTCGACGGCGACGGCGACCAGGACGGGCTGTCCGCGTCGGAGCTCGACGACACGGTCGCGTGGTACGAGAACGACGGCTCGCAGTCCTTCGCGGAGCGCGTCGTCACGACGCTCGCGGACGGCACCCAGTACACGTTCGCGACCGATGTCGACGGCGACGGCGACACCGACGTGCTCTTGGCGTCCCTCGACGACGACACGGTCGCGTGGCACGAGAACGACGGCAGCCAGGGCTTCACCGAGCACGTCCTCACGACCGCGGCGGACGGCGCCCGCACCGCCTACGCGATCGACGTCGACGGCGACAGCGACGTCGACGTGTTGTCGACGTCTATTTGGGACGACACGGTCGCGTGGTACGAGAACGACGGCTCCCAGTCCTTCACGGAACAAGTCATCACCACCGCGGCGGACTGGGCCGCAGACGGTTTCGCGCTGGACGTCGACGGCGACGGCGACGTCGACGTGCTCTCGGCGTCTTACCTCCAATCCACGGTCGCGTGGTACGAGAACGACGGATCCGAGTCCTTCTCCCAGCGCGTCATCACGGCGACCGCGGACGGCGCCTACTCCGTCTTCGCCATCGACGTCGACGGCGACGGGGACGTGGACGTGCTTTCCTCCTCCGTAACCGACGACACGGTCGCGTGGTACGAAAACGACTGCGGCACGCTCGCGCCAACCGCGGCGCCGTCCGCGAGCCCCGCGCCGACTGCGAGTCCCAAGCCGACGCTGAGCCCCGCCCCGACGCCCCGCCCCACGGTCTTCTGCACGAGCGTCGCGTTCACCGAACGGATCATCACCACGCTCGCGGACGGCGCCCGCACCGTCTTCGCGATCGACGTCGACGGCGACGGCGACGTCGACGTGCTGTCGACGTCTATTTGGGACGACACGGTCGCGTGGTACGAGAACGACGGCTCCCAGTCCTTCACGGAACAAGTCATCACCACCGCGGCGGACTGGGCCGCAGGCGCCTTCGCGCTGGACGTCGACGGCGACGGCGACGTCGACGTGCTCTCGGCGTCTCACGTCGACGCCACGGTCGCGTGGTACGAGAACGACGGTGCCCAGTCCTTCTCCCAGCGCGTCATCACGGCGACCGCGGACGGCGCCTACTCCGTCGTTGCGATCGACGTCGACGGCGACGGCGACGTGGACGTGCTTTCCGCCTCCACAAACGACGACACGGTCGCGTGGTACGAGAACGACGGCTCCCAGTCGTTCGCCGAACGGATCATCACGACGCTCTCGGACCACGCCTTCTCGATCTTCGCTATCGACGTCGACGGCGACGGGGATGTCGACGCGCTCTCGGCGTCCCCCAACGACGACACGATCGCGTGGTACGAGAACGACGGCTCCGAGTCCTTCACAAAGCATGTCATCTCGAACGCGGCGGACGGCGCCTATACCGCCTTCGCCATCGACGTCGACGGCGACGGCGACGTGGACGCGCTGTCGGCGTCCGCCAACGACGACACGGTCGCCTGGTACGAGAACGACGGGTCCGAGTCCTTCACGGAGCGCATCATATCGAACTCGGCGGACGGTGCCATGTCCGTCTTCGCGCTCGACGTCGACGGCGACGGCGACGTCGACGTGCTCTCGGCGTCCCAAGACGACGATACGATCGCGTGGTACGAGAACGACGGCTCGCAGTCCTTCGCGGAGCGCGTCGTCACGACGCTCGCGGACGGCACCCAGTACACGTTCGCGATCGATGTCGACGGCGACGGCGACACCGACGTGCTCTCGACGTCCCTCGACGACGACACGGTCGCCTGGTTCGAGAACGACTGCGCCACGCTCGCGCCCACGCTCGCACCCACGCTGTCGCCCGCGCCGACCGTGACGCCGCGGCCGACGTACGTGTCCCACCCGACGCTGGTCGCGTACTACTCCTTCGACGACGGCACGGCCGCGGACAACTACGGGATTCTCGACGGGACGCTCAACAACTGCACGCGTCGTCGCCTACAAAAGGCCCCGTTCGGCGACGACGCGACGGACGACGCGACAGACGACGCGACGACGCGCGGCCCGAGCACCGCCGCGCCCGCGGCGAGCGGCTCCGACGGCGGCTCGAGCGACACGCCCGGCCCGAGCACCGCCGCGCCCGCGGCGAGCAGCTCCGAGTGCCGCGGGCCGACGGCGTGCGACTGCTCGAGCGACGAGTTCTGCAATTTCGACGACGGCAGCAGCGGCGGCTGCGAGTCCTGCGCCTCGTTCTCCTCGACGGCGGCGTGCGGCGAGGACGGCCTCCCGTCGGACGGCGAGGACGACTGCGTCGCGTGCTGCTTCGGGAGCGACGACGACGCGACGGCCGGCGGCTCGAGCGACACGCCCGGCCCGAGCACCGCCGCGCCCACGGCGAGCCCCGCCTGCAACTCGTGGGCGGGCCGCGACGGGCGCGGCGCGCTGGCCTTCGACGGCGTCGACCAGTTCGCCCGGCTTCCCGCCGCGGTGACGGCGGACATCCAGGGGAGCAGCGCGCGGACCGTGTGCTTGTGGGCGGCGATCGACTCCTTCGCGGCCGCGACGGTCGATTACGGCGGCGCGCTCTTCGACTACGGGAACACCGCGACGCTCGGGGACTTCACGCTCCGGGTCTTCGGCACGGACGGCAGCCTCCGCGTCGACTTCTGGGGATCGTGGGTGGACGTGGCGCTGGCGGGCTCCGACGACGGCGACTGGCACCACTACTGCCTGACCTACGACGGGTCCGACTGGGCCCTCTACTTCGACGGGTCGCAGGCGGAGACGGGGACCGCCGCGTTGGACACGGGCGCGACCCGCGCGCTCGAGCTCGGGCGCTGGGGGGGCATCACGTCCTACCTCGACGGCGCCGTCGACGAGGTCTACGTCTACTCGAGCGCGCTCGACGCGGCCGACGTCCAGGTCCTCTACGACGCGGTCACGGTCGCGCCGACGCTCGTGCCGACGCCCGTCCCGACCGCGCTCCCGAGCGGCGCGCCGTCGCGGATGCCGACGCCGGCGCCCTCCGCGCTGCCGACGCTCGCGCCGACGTCGGGCCCGTCGCGCGCGCCGACGCCGAACCCGACGAGCGCGCCGACGTCCTCGCCGACGTCCGTGCCGACGGCGTCGCCGAGCCGCCCGCCGACGCCGTCGCCGACGACGACCGCGCCGACGACGTCGAACCCGTCGCCGAACCCGACGTCGCTGCCGACGCTCGTCCCGACGCCGGACACGCCCTACCCGTCCGCCGTGCCGACGTCGGCGCCGACGGCGACGCCGACCTACGACTTCGCGTCCGTCACGGGCACGCTGACCATCGACGGCTTCGAGAAGTCGTGCGACGACGCCGCGTTCCTCGACGCCTACGACTACGCCGTCGCCGCGGCCGTCGGCGGCGGCGCGACGGCGACGTGCGGGTGCTCCCTCGACGCCGTCATCGCGGCCAAGGCGTCGGATCGGAGCGGCGGCCGGCGGCTCCGGGGCGACGCGGCCCCCTCCGCGGCGCCCGCGGCGGCGCCGAGCGCGTCGTCCGCGCCGACCGCGGACCCGACGGCCGCGCCGACGGCCGTGCCGACGCCGCGGCGCGTCGCAGCGTCCCCGCATCTTATTTATCCCTTTCGACAAATGAAATCTTTGGCGAACGTAGGCCCACCGCGGACCCCACCGCGACGCCCAATCCGACGACGACCGTCGAGCTCGACGTCGTCTTCGAGGTGAGCTTCGCGCTCGCGGGCACGTCGGGCTTCTCCGTCGTCGACTACGCCGATGTCGTCGCGGGCAACGTGTCGCGGGCCATCGCGTCGGGCGCCTTCGACGACGCGCTGCGGGCCTTCGGCCTCGCGGGGTCGACGGCGCTCTCCGTCTCCGACTGCGCCGTGCTCCGGACGACGCAGCCGACGCCGTCGCCGACGCTGCACCCGTCGACGGCGGGCTACCGCCTCGCGGGCGTCCACTGGGTCCACCGGCCGAGCGGCGCTTTGGAGGGCGCGCGGACGAACGCGACGTTCTGGCTCGACACGTGGGCGGACGAGATGGTGACGCTCACGGTCGCGGCCGAGCCCGCGGGCGCCGTCGAGCTCGCGCTGCGCGACGGCGACGGCGCGGGCTGGGGCGCGACGAGCACGCGGAGCGTCTCCGCGCTCCGGACCTTCTACGGCCCCACGGCGGAGGTCGTCGTCGGCGTCGCGCCCGTCGACGACGCCGCGGGGACGGGCGACCGCGCCGTGGCCCTGTCGCTGACGCTGGCGTCCTTCGACCCCAACTACGACGGCGGCCGCTTCGACGAGGCCTGGAACTTCACGATCGTCGAGGACGACGCGCCGGGGCTCGTGATCGCGACGGCGACGGCGACGTACGCGGCGGGCGACGCGCTCGCGCTCGCCGACGGCGAGCGGAACGGCGCGGCCGCGTCCTTCTTCGTCTCCCTCGGCTCCGAGCCCGCGGGGGCGACCGTCGTGACCTGCGCCGTCGACGGGTCCTTCGTCGCCGCGGCGCCGGCGTCGTGGACCGTCGAAGACTGGGACGCGCCCGTCGAGGTCGGGGCAGCAAAAGAGAGCGAACTTCCCAACTTCAAAGGCTCCTATCTCGGCCGTTTTCCACTCGTTTCGGCTGATTTTTGGACGAGCGATCATCTCTCGGAACGGCCTCGAAGCGCGGATGCTTTTTCCGGAACGCGCGCGCGCGGAACACTCACGTTGAAGCGACGTTGAATCACCCTTTTGCCGCCCAGGTGGGTCGCGCTGGCGGCGGCCGACGACGCGGACGTCACGGGCGACCGCGTCGCCGCCGTGTCGTGTTCGACGGCGTCGGAGGACGCGGCCTACGACGGCCTCGCGGGCGCCGCGGTGTCGTTCGCGGTCCACGACGACGACGTCGCCGCGGTCCTCGTCACCGCGGCCGTCGTCACCGTCGGCGCGAACGCGGCCGGCCCCGTCTTCGCCGACGCCTACGGCCTCGCGCTGAGCTCCAGGCCCGCGGCGCCCGTCGTCGTCTTCCTGGAGCCGTCCGCGGGCGTCGCCGCGAACGTCGACAACGTGACCTTCCTCCCGGACGAGTGGGACGCGGAGGTGACGATCGAGGTCACGGCGGCGCTCCTGGGCGACGACGACGGCGGCCGGTCGGGCCTCGTGGCCCACGTCGCCGCCAGCGACGACCCGGCCTACGGCGGCATAGCCGTCGACGCCGTCGCCGTCGACGTCGCGTTCCGCGTGGATTCCAACCACTGGTTTGGGGGGTCCTGACCAAACTTGAGAATTCTCGAGCTCGGTCACGTCGAAGTCGATTCGGCTGATTTTTGGACGAATCGATCGCTCGCGTCGAGTTCTCGAAGCACAGCGAAAGAGTCTGGTCCAAACCGTTCGATTGCTCGCACATTGAAGTCGGGTTGAAGATTTGGAATCCACGCAGGTCGCGTTCACGGCCGACTCGGAGCCGCCGCCCAAGGTCGTCGCCGCGGTCTTCTTCGACGGCGGCCAGGGCCTCACCGTGTCCCTGGACCGCGCCTGCGACCGCGGCGGCGCGAGTGCCAACCCCTTCGCCTGCGACGCCGTCTTCGCGGACGTCGGGCCCTGGGGCGACGGGTCGTCGTGCGCGTGGCGCGCCGACTCCGCGGCCGTGGCCGTGACCTTCGGGTCGGCGGCGACGGCGGTGCCCTACGACTTCGTCGCGAACCGCAGCGCCCTCGACACCGTGTCGCTCCGCGGGAGCGTGCTCCGCAACGCCGCGAACGGCACCCTGTACGCGGCCGCGCAGTCGTTCGACCTCGCGCGGCCCGCGGACCCCGTCGCGCCCGCGCTCGCCGTCAGCGCGCCGGACGCCGTGGGGCTCTGCGACGGCCTCGACCTCGACGCGTCGGGCGCGACGGGCGGCGGGTCGCGCGCGCTGGCCTACGCGTGGTCCCTCGTCGACGCGGCGGACGCGCACGCTTCGTTGGCCGCGCGCCTCGCGGCCGAGACGGGGACCCGCGTGTCCCTCGCCTGGGACGACCTCGTCCCCGGCGAGACTTTGGGCTTCGCGGCGACGGCGACGAACTACCTCGGCGAGTCGACGACGTCCGACGTCAAGTACGTCGCCAAGGTCGGGAGCCCGACGCCCAAGGTCATGTTCCAGACGTCGACGACGACGATCCGGCGCTCCGACGCCCTCACCCTCAAGCTCGACGTGTCCCTGCCGTCGACGAACTGCACGGACGGCAACGTGACGGGCGCCCTGGGCTACGCGTGGATCGCGCGGAAGTGGGACGGCGATCTGGAACACCCCGGCTGGGGCTCCGCGCTGCCCGAGCTCGACGACGAAACGCTCGCGGTCTACGCGCGGAACCCGAGCGCGTTACGGTTGCCCGCGGACGCCCTCGAGGCCGGCGAGGTCTACGCCTTCGGGGTCACGGCCTTTTACGAGGACTCGCAAGCGGCGAACGCGACGGCCTACTGCGCCGTGCAGGTGACGACGCAGGACCTCGAGGCCGCCATCGCCGGGGGCGTCGAGCGCTACGTCGCCGCGGCGTCCGTCGTGTCCCTGGACGCGTCGGCGAGCGCCGACCCCGACAACGCGACGGCCGACGGGCCGCTCCGCTTCTCGTGGAACCTGACGCGCGCGGACGACGGCGCGGACCTGACGGCCAACGCGTCGCTCGGCGACGCCGCCGTCGTCGAGTTCGTCGCCGATGTCGCCCCGGGCACCTACGTCGCCGCCGTGACCGTGTCGCGCGGCGACCGGTCCGCGTCCGCGGCCGCGACGCTCGTCGTCTCCGCGGACGCGTTCATCCCGGAGATCTCCGTCGCGGCCGCGGCGACCAAGTTCAACCCCGGGGCCGGCGCCTACGGCGCCGTCTACTTCGGCGCGTCGACGCCCGCGGCGGACAACCGGTCGTGCTGCGACTTTTCCTGGACCGTCGACTCGCCCCCGTCGACGGACGCGGCCATCTTCTCCAAGGGCGCGACGGCGCCGTCGCCCATGCTCCTGGACCTGGGCCTCGTGACGCCCGGCGACACCTATTTCTTCCGTCTCTCGGCGACGGACGGCAGCGGCGCGTCGTCGAGCGCCGTCGTCCAGGTCGACGTCAACGCGCCGCCGACCTCCGGTTCCTTCGCCGTATCGCCGCGGCGCGGCGGCTTCGCGGTGTCGACGACCTACGAGTTCGCCCTCAGCGACTGGTCCGACGACGCCGACGACTACCCGCTGACCTACGCCTTCGCCTACGAGGACCTCGGCCGCGACGTGCTCCTCGTCGCGGACCGCTACGCGACGTCGTGGCTGACGACGACGCTCCCGAAGACGAGCGCGCTCAACGTGACCTGCTCCGGCACGGTCTACGACCGCCTCCTCGCGTCGGCGACGGGGTCCCAGGCGACGGAGGTGCTCGTCGCGGCCTACGCGGCGGCGGAGCTCGCGGCGCTCGCGGACGACGCCGTCGGCGCGGCGCTCGACGCGGGCGACTCCGAGTCGGCGCTCCGCGAGATCTCGTCCATCTCCTCGGTCATCGCGGCGGGCGGCGACGACGACGCGAACACGGACCTCGTGTCGACGCTCATGGCCGCGACGCTGTCGGCCTTCGACGGCGTCGACGCGGCCGCGTCGCCCGAGGCGACGGCCCAGGTGCTCGGCACGATGGCGACGCTCGTCGCGAACCCGGGCCTCCTCGCGCCCGAGGTCCAGATGGACGCCGTGGGCCTGCTGGGCACGACGGTGTCCAACGCCGTCGCCGCGGGCCTCGACGGCGCCGCGTCGACGTCGACGGCCGCCGCGCTGAGCTCCGTGCTCTCCGCGTCGCTCTTCGAGGACGGCGGCTCGGCAAGGCGGCGGCGCCTCAAGGCCCACGCGAGCCTCGACGTCGCGCCGAACTCGACCCTGGCTCGCAAGCTCCGGCGCCGGCGCCTCGCGGCGCGGCGGCGCCTCGACGAGGGCGACGGCGAGGCGAACACGACGCTCGCCGACGACATGACGACGACGGTGTCCCAGACGGCCCAGGCCATGATCGCGACGGCCTACGGGGGCCAGTCGTCGTCGACGTCGAGCGACAACCTGGCCATCGACGCGTGGCGCACCGACTGCGGCACGCGGTCGTCGAGCTTCGGCACGGGCGGCGGCACGGCCTTCGCGCCGCCGGCGTCGGCGACGGGCGCCTGCGGCGACGACGCCGGCGACGACGGCGCCGGGTCCGACGTCGACGTGCAGATCGCGGAGATGAGCAACGTCTACGGCGAGCCGGAGGCGAAGCGGGGCGAGGAAAAAGAGGAGGTGAAGTCGAAGCTCGTCCAGGTCGAGATGAGCGACACGGGCGACGACGGGCGGCGGCGGCGCCTCACGGCCTTCGGCGACGACGACCCCATCACGCTCGTCATCCAGTTCCAAGAGCCCGACTCAGGGCAGGAAAAGAGAGCGAAATTCCCAACTTCAAAGGCTCCTATCTCGGCCGTTTTCCACTCGTTTTGGCTGATTTTTGGACGAGCGATCATCTCTCGGAACGGTCTCGAAGCATTGATGCTTGTTCCGGAACGCGCGCGCGCAAAACACTCACGTTGAAGCGAACTTGAATCCCCCTTTTCCTGCCCAGGCCCGACTTCGCGCTCGTCGCGGACCAGTCGGCGCTCGCGCGGAACGGCACGTGCGCCAACACGTCCCAGACGCTGGTCTGGGACGACTGCCCCGACGGCGGGGCCGTCATCTTCAACTGCAGCGACCCCCAGGTCGTCACCTTCCCCGACGGCTCCAACGGCACGTTCTACGCGCCGCCGCTCGGAGCCGCGCCGCTCGACGTGTCCGCGACGTGCCCGTCCAAGGCGCCGCTCTGCACCTTCTGGGACGACACGTCCCAGGCCTGGAGCGGCGCCAACTGCACCGTGGCCAAATTCACGGCGTTCAACGTGACCTGCGCGTGCACGCACCTCACGGACTTCGCGGGCGGCGCGTCGTCGACGGCGTCGACGGCGTCGGCCGTCGTCTCCACGGGCGCGTCCCTGTCCCTGTCCCAGCTCCTCGACGCGCTCCTCGTCCTCATCGTCCTCCTCGCCGTCGGCGGGGGCTTCCTCTTCGGCTGCGTCCGCGCGCACCAGCTCGACGAGGAGGACGAGGTCCGCGGCAAGTACACGCGCGACCACCACGCGCACGAGGCCGGCGTCAAGGCCTCGGGCCCGCTGGAGCTGACGGGCAACAAGGCGTCCTTCCTCGCCGCGGCGAAGCGCGCGCGCACGCACCGCGGCTGGATCTCGCGGAGATCTGCGCGGGAATCGACCACTGGTTTGGGACGTCCCGACCAAACTTTGAAACTGTCTCGCTCGGTCAATTCGACGTCGATTCGGCTGATTTTTGGACGGATCAATTGCTCTCGTCGAGTTCTCGAAGCACAGCGGACGCGCTCGTGTCGAAACATTCGATTACGCGCACATTGAAGTCGGGTGGAAGATGTGAGTTCCACGCAGGCGGAGCCGGGGCGTCTACGCGTCCTACGCGGACTACGTGCGGCCGCGGCTCCCGGCGTCCCTGGCGGTCGTCGCGTCCTTCGTGACGGCGATCCGCCGCGAGCACAAGCTGCTCCAGATCGCCTACCTGCCGGACCCGGCGCTGTCGCGCGCGACGCGCGTGGCGCTGCTCGCGGTGCTCATCTTCGCGGCGCTCTTCGCGAACGCGTTCTTGGTCACGCTGGCGCCCGTGGAGACGTCGAAGCCGCCCTGGCACGAGGACGTGCTCGTGCCCAAGATGTACTTCTCGGCGCTGACGACGATCCTCATCAACGTCTTCTACCTGTCCTTTGGCGCGCTCTTCGCCGCGTGCGCGCCGCCGGCGCACCCCGTGGACCACTTCCTCCACCTCGGCGACGACGCCGAGGAGCTCGGCGAGTCGACGAAGCACCGCCTCGCGCTCCGGCGCGAGGTCGTCATCGCCACGGCCCACGAGGCCTACGTCAAGCGCAAGGCCGCGCGCGAGTTCCGCGAGCTCGAGGACTCCGTCGTCGCCGGCCGCGTCGACGCCGCGACGCGCCGCGGCGCGGGGGGGCTGCTCGCGGCGCCGAGCCGCGAGGAGCTGCGCGAGCGCGACGTCGCCTTCGCGCAGAAGCACCGGGGGCTCGTCGCCGCGGCGCGCGACGGCGCCGCGGACGCGCGCGCGAAGCGCGTCCACGCGGAGCGCCGCGTCTACGTCGACGACCTCCGGCGCCGCGAGGAGGACGCGGCGGAGCTCCACCTGCGGACGGCGCACCTCGCGGGCGTCGCCCGCTACGCCGCGCGGCGCCGGGAGGCGCGGCGCATCGCCGTCGACGACGCGCTCGACGCGCTGACGCTCGACGAGCAGGCGCTCTACGTCGCCGAGGAGGAGGAGCTCGCGAAGATGCCCTGGTACTACCGGGCGCTCTACCAGGACCACCTCTCGCCCCTCAAGGACGCGCTCGCCATGGGCCGGCGACCGCGGCGCGCGCTGCCGCGCTGGTGCGCGACGGCCGCGTTCGGCGCCGCGGGGCTCTTCTGCCTCGCGTGCATGTGGTGCGTCTTCATGTTCAGCGTGCTCCTCAACGAGTGCTCCCAGTGCGACCAGGACGAGGCCACGGAGACGTGCGTCGCGCCCGAGGACGGTGTTTGCAACTGCGGCGACAACGAGAGCCTCTACGCGTACTGCGGCGGCGGGTCGCGGACGCGGCGTCGCTGTCGTGGCTCGAGATGTGCCTCGTCTCCGTCGCGCTCTCCGTCTTCCTCACGGGCCCCCTGGCCATCCTCGCGGCGAAATCCTTTCTGCCCCTCGCCGCGCGCGCGGTCATCGGCGCGGACTCGCTGGCCCACGAGGTCGACGACGCGCTCCACGAGCGGCGGTCGGACGCGGCGCGCGGGCTCGAGGGCCTCGTGGGCCGCATCCGCGCGCGCGCGGAGGTGCTCCGCGCGGAGCACGGCGGCGGCGCCGCGGCCGTCGCGGGCCGCGGCGAGCGGCCGCAGACGAAGCGGCTCGCCAAGGTCGTGCCCGTCGACAACGACTACGGCGACGAGTGCAAGGAGCCGCCCGCGTCGCCGCGCCTTTCGGCGGCCTTCGACTGCCCCTGCGGCGCGCGCGTGGCCCTGGACCGGCGGCCCTTCCACCTCGCGAGCTGCTGCCCCGTGTTCCGCGACTCCTGGGCCGCCGCGGGCCGCGGGCTCCTCGAGGCGCTCGGCCGCGACGCCGTCGCGGACGCCGTCGCCGCGCTCGCGGTCGAGCGGTCCGTCGGCGAGCGCGCGGCGTTCTGCGCGCTCGCCGAGTGCGGGGGCGAATTCGCGGCCGCGGCGGCGAAGCTCGGCGACGCGGGCTACCGCGGCGAGATGGCGCTCGCGGCCGACGCGTGGGCGCGGTGGCGGCCGCCGGGCGCCGCGCCGCGCGGCGCCGGCGCCGCGGCGCCGCGGCGGCCGCCGATGGCGTCGCCCCGGGCCCAGCTGGGCTGGGCGCCCTTCGAGCACAGCTTCTACGGGTCCACGCTGGGCCTCGACCTCGCCCTCGTGCGCCTCGAGGAGACGGGCGACGCGCGCGTCTGCGTCGTCGCGGTGTCGGGCCTCTCGGAGGCCGTCGAGTTCGCGGGCCGCGGCGCGCCCTACGAGCTCGCGGCCATCGACGGCGCACCGCCGCCGGCGGCCCTCGCGGACGTCGGCGCCGCGCTGCGCCGCGCGCCGCGGCCCGTGACCCTGACGCTCCGGCGGCGCGCGCGCGCGGCCGCCGAGCCCGCCGCCGCGGCCGCCGCGGACCCGGCCGCCGTCGCGGCGGACCCGGCCGCCGCCGAGGCGGACCCGGCCGCCGCCGAGGCGGCCGTCGACGTCGGCGGCTTCTCGCACGGGGCCGGCGCGCGGCCGAGGACCGCCGAGGAGCGCGTCCTGCGGGAGTCGCTCGACGGCCTCGAGGCGCACCTCCGCGCCTGCGAGGAGGCCTGCGGCCGCATGCGCCGCGTCGTCGACGCCGCCGACGCCGCGGGGCGCGACGAGGCCCGGAGCTCGCTCGCCCAGGTGGAGATGATCCGCCGCGCGGCCGCGGAGAACGTCCGCGCGGCTCGCGCCAAGCTCGACGAGGCCGTCGCGCGGCGCGGGCCCGCCGCCGAGGAGCCCGCCGCCGAGGAGCCCGCCGCGGCCGCCGAGGAGCCGCCGCCCGTAGTCGTCGACGTCGGCGGCTTCTCCGTCGCGGACGACGACGCGCCCGTCTCGGACGAGGAGCGCGCGCTCGCGGAGACGCTCGACCGCCTCGAGGCGCACCTCCGCGCCTGCGAGGAGGCCTGCGGCCGCATGCGCCGCGTCGTCGACGCCGCCGACGCCGACGGGGGCGACGAGGCCCGGAGCTCGCTCGCCCAGGTGGAGATGATCCGCCGCATGGCCGCGGAGAACGTCCGCGGCGCCAAGGCCAAGCTCGACGAGGCGAGGGCGCGGCGGGCGGCTTAAATAATTTACTTAGTACTCATATACTAGAAGTACAGTGCTTTAGTGGGCCCCCCAGTGCCCGCGCCTGCCCAAGGTAGGCGCGTAGGCGGGGTGTGTCGCCTAATGCGCTAGAGAGAGAAGTACAAATACTACAATAATTTGGGGCGTACTTCCGCGTATGTACACGCACGCGCCGCTATGAACAGCTCAGGCTTCGACGTCGACGGGCGCCGCCAGGTCCGCGTGGAGGTCGAGCTCCCGGGCGAAGTTGGCCTCCATCTCCCGCTTTGTGGACGCGCCGTTGAAGTAGTTCAGCGCCGCGCAGAGCGCCGCGCCGTCGTCGAGGTCCGGGTTCTCGTCGTAGGCCTTCTGGAGGCGCAGGAGCCGCGTCAGGGCCGCGAGCTCTTGGGGCGTCACGGTGCCGTTCTGGTCCACGTCCGCGGACAGGGTCCCGTAGCGGACCATGACGTTCCACACGACGACGTCGACGCCCGCGTCGCTGAGCGGCGGTTCGGGCGGCGGCGCGCCCTCCCGCTCCATGCGCGTCTCGTAGCGTTTGTGGAGCACGTGGAAGACGCAGCGCATGAAGTGGTGGTCGAGGCAGACGATGGGATCGTCCGGGAGGTCCTTCTGCCAGCGCCAGGCGAAGATCCGCCATGACACGGGGCAGCCCGCGACCTCGTTGACGCGCGCGTACAGGTGCGGCGCGGCGCGGCCGACCTCGCGGCCCTTGTGGCTCCGAGCCGCCGGCGCGTCGTCGTCCGGGCCGCCGGCCGCGCGGCGCTTCGACGGGCGGACCGCCTCCGCGCCCGCGAGGGGCCGGTCCTCGGCGTCGAACCAGCACTCGAGGATGGCGCTGAGCTCCTCGACGCCGAGGATCAGGTCGTCGGCGGCCGCGGCCAGGCCCCCCGGGCCCAGGTGGCGCATGGACCGCGGCAGGAAGTAGCGCCACCCCAACGCCTTCAGGTCCTGCCTCGCCTTCCAGAGCGCGAAGGGCAGCGGGTCCGTCTGCTGCTCCAGGCGGCCCTCCTCGACGACGGTCGTGTAGGCCTCGACGATGATGGCCAGCAGGCTGTTCAGCAGCAGGAAGAAGGACAGCACCATGAAGGACCAGTAGAAGGCCGCGTTGATGTACGTGACCTCGATGTCGCTGTCGTCGAACATGCCGCACAGCGCCTTCATCATCGTCAGCGACGACGCGAAGAGGTCCGAGAAGTCCTCGTGCTCCTTGCCGTGGAGCAGCACGCCCAGGAACGCGTAGATCTCGAGGACGAAGAGGAAGACGACGACGAAGTACGTGAGGTCCGTCGTCGCGGCTTTCACGGTGCGCGAGATCATGCCGATGCGCGGGTGGAAGTCGAGGTTCTTGATCAGCTGGAACGCCATGAAGATCATCTTAACCGCGATGAGGACGTCGTAGCGCTCGAGCTCGTGCGACGCGCGCCTCAGGTGGTCGTACTGGTCCTGGATGGCGTCCACGTCGCCCGACGCCTCCGTGATGCGGCCGACGGCGAAGGGGTCCGCGAAGGCGTCGTAGTGGTCCCGGGGCTTGATGCGCGTCGTCGACTGCCAGAAGGTGCCCCACTTGACGAACATGGCGAGGCTGACGGCGTACGAGGCGAGATCGAGGAGATTCCCCACGCCCAGGTAGCCCCAGAGCGCGCCCGTCTCGCCGTAGACGTCCCGCATCTCGCCCAGTTCCATGGAGATCAAGAACAGGACGGTGCCGACGAGGACGAGCTCGAGGAACGCGCGAAAGTAGTCCGTCGCTCCGTCGTAGGGCCGCGGGTCGAAGATCGCGAACTTGTCGCTGAGCATGATGCCGCCCTCCTTGACGCGCTCGGCGACGATCTCCATGTAGGTCAGCAGGCCCGTCTCCACGTTGACCGTCGCGATCGTCACCGTCACCTCGAGCGTCTGCTTGTTGAAGTACGCGCCCTCGGTGAGCGTGTCGAAGAGCTCGAGCGCGCGCGTCCGGTTCAGGTTCGTGTCGAAGACGACGGGGAAGTCGCGCGCGCCGGGGCAGCCCGAGTCGTAGAAGAAGCCGTAGGGCACGCCCGAGCCCTTGAGCTCCGTCGCGTTGTCGTAGAGCTCGTTCTTGAGCGCCTCGTCGTTCGCGCCCTTGTAGAGGAACGAGCTCTCGAGGAACGTCGGGTCCACGCCGAAGGGCGCCTCGCTGGCGCGGTTCGGCATATAGACCGGGAGTCCGTCGACGACGACGTGGAAATCGCATTTGTCCCGCAGGTCCGCAAAGGGGCCCTCCGCGGGGCAGTCGCCCGACGCGGCGCGCCGCTGCGTCACCATCGGGCCCCAGATCACCCGGTTCGGCCGGGGGAGCCAGCGGGACCGCAGCTGGCCCGTCGCGGGCTTCGCGAACATGTCGTACTCCTCCGGGTTGTAGCCGCCGACCTTGTTGCCCGGGCCGACTTCCACCTTGAACGGCACCGTCGCGTGGTCGCCCTCGTACGCGGCGCACTCCGGGCACGCGGCGCTCGGCAGGAGCTTCGCCACGTCGACCCAGAACTCGGACGCCTTCGACGCGTTGACAGCCGCGAGCGGCGGGCCGCGCGGCTCGTCGAGGTTCCCGACCCGGAGCTCCGCGAAGTCGCCCTGCGCGCCTTCGAGGAAGACGCGGTCCGCCACGGCCCGGTGGAGCACGTGGGGGACCGTCGCGTGGGCCACGCCGCCGAGAACGAGGGCGTAGGGCCAGTCGTCGAGCGCGCCGGCCTCGCCCTTCGCGTGCCGCAACCAGGGCGCGGCGACGTAGGCGTGCTCGTCGTCGAGGCAGTCGCCGCCGTCGTGGAGGCACGCGAAGCCGGAGTTGGACGGGTCGCAGGTCCCGTCGCCCATGCGCCGCGCCACGCAGTTCCCCCGCTCCACCGTCGCGGAGATGCGGTTCACGACGCCGACGTCGTCGAGGTAGTACTCGCCGCTCACGCCGAGCGCCTGCGCCGTGACGTCGAAGACGTTGGCGTACCAGGTCGGGTCCTGGGCCCCGGGCACGTTGCACAATTCCCCCGCGCAGGCGAGGCAGTCCGACAGGAGCACGTGCTGCGTGTAGTACTCGCTCTTGACGTTCATGCACAGCCGCGGGTCCAGCGGCCCCTGCTCCGGGAAGTCGTAGCCCGCGTGGATCATGTCGGCCAGTAACATGCGCTCGAAGTCGCTCCAGCAGCCCCCGAGGCCGAAGTAGGCCGCGGGCACGGCGCCGGACACGAGCGGCTGGACCTGCAGGTAGGGCTCGTTGAAGCCGTTCCAGCCGTGGCCGCCGCCGGCGAAGGGCCACGGGTACTCGACGAGGACGCAGTGCGTGTCGCCCGCGGGGCACGTGATGATCTCCGAGCTCGGCTCCTGCTGCCACTGGGTCGCGAGGAAGCCGGCGTCGCCCTCGGAGTACCGTTTCCAGCCCGCGTAGCACCGGAGGCGGCCGTCGTCCTCGAAGGCCGTCGGCGCGGGCGTCGGCGAGTCGCTCGTCGCGAAGGCGACGTCGTCCTCCTCTAAGGCCGTCGGCGCGGGCGTCGGCGCGTCGCTCGTCGCGAAGGCGACGTCGTCGATAGCGATGTCCCCGGTCCACTTGTAGGTGAAGCCGCGCCAGCGGATCTGCGTCGTCGCCGCCGGCACCTCGGCGGCCTTGTCGTGCCACCGGTGGCCCTGGTCGTAGACGGTCCGGAAGAGCACGGTCCAGCTCCCGTCGACGAGGCCCTCGAGGTTCATGTACGCGACGCGGTCGCCGTAGGCGTGGAGCTTGAACGTCAGAAGAGCAGGCTCCCTGAGCGCTTTGAAGGCCGGGCTCCGCAGGATGAACGTGTCGTTCGACGTGCCGCTCGCCTCGGTGTACGCGTAGCCGTCGTCGGGGTCGCTCCGGTCGCCGAACTCCTTGGGCCCGCTGTTCGGCGTGCCCGTGATGCCGACGTGCCAGGTCCAGGGCCCGCCGTTGCCGCCGCCGTCCTCGTAGTTGCAGAGGTCCGCGTCGAAGGCGCAGTCGACCGCGGCGAGCGCGTCGTCGCGCGGGAGCGCGTAGGCCGCGGGCGCCGGCGTCGGCGCGGCCGTGGCGTCGCCGTCGGTCGCGGCGGACGCGCCGTCGCCGTAGCAGCGGTAGTCGAAGACGGAGACGACGGTGCTCGGCGTGGCGAAGCCGTCGCACGTCGGCTCGACGACGGGGCAGTCCGCGACGGACGCGCCGTCGTCGCCGCCCGCGTCGCAGGTCGCGCCCCGGTCGCCGACGGTGAAGGTACAGGAGTCGACGCCGCCGGACCCGCGGAGCACGAGGGCGTCGCCGTCGTAGAGCGCCCAGCCCATGCCGCCGAGGTACTGCGCGCCCGCCTCGGACGCCGCGGTCGCGAACGCGTAGGTCCGGCCCTCGCTGAGGAGCACGTCGACGACGGCGCAACCGTTGTCCGTCAGCGTCTCGGTCGTCACGACCGCGCCCGCGGCGTCGACGATGGACAGGGTGTTGCCCAGCCAGGTCAGGCTCACGTAGACATTCAGGAGCACGAGCGTGAACTTGCGGGCCCCCGGGTCCCACGCGGACGCGTTCGCGACCGCGGCCGGCGCGGACCGGTCGCCCCAGGTCGGGCCCGCCGCGGGGTTCCGGGGGATGGACCACCACTTGGCGACGGCCTCGTAGGCCAAGGAGTCGGGGAACGCGGCCATCTCGAGGTCGATGTCCGCGTCCTTGTACTCCGAATGCGTCATCGTCTCCGCGTTGAACCCCGCCCAGTAGTCGTCGTCGAAGCAGCGGTAGGCGCCGTCGACGTAGCTGCACGCGCACGCGTCCGCGTCCGGGCACGGCGCCCACGTCTCGCACGTCTCCGCGTTCGTGGCCGTGTCGCGCGTGCAGATCTGGCCCCGAATCGCCGGGAAGCCGATCTGCACCGCCTTGCCCGCGAGGGGGTTCTCGAGGTCCTTGTAGGGGTAGGTCCAGGCGAAGCCGTCGAAGGCGTAGCGCAGCTCCCAGTCCCCCGCGTAGAGGTCGAGCACCTTGGACTCGCCGAACGACGACGACTCGACGTCGAGCTCGGCCGTGCGGTAGGGCAGGCCGTTGATCTGGACGTCGCCGTCGAAGAGGCACACGGTCTCGGGCGTGCCCCAGGAGCGGTCCGTGGCGTGGCAGACGTTCCAGCCGGCCGCGGGCTTGATCGGACGCCCGTCCGCGTCGTAGCGGCCCCACGCCTCCGCCGACTCGCCGAGCCAGCCGTCCTCGAGCGCCGCGGCCACGACCTGGGACGCGACGACGAGCTTGCCCAAATCGAGGAAGTGGACCTCGACGACCGTCGTGTCGACGATGCCGCAGTCCGCGCGGCACCCGACGAAGGCCGCGCCCTCGCGCTCGTAGGGGTCGGGGTCGTAGCTCGGGTTCTCGTCGCGCGGCTCGCAGAAGCCGTCGCCGCACTCGCTGTCCTGGAAGATCATGCCCAGCACGTCGCCGCGCAGGAAGTGCTCGAAGGTCTCCAGGTTCAGCAGGCTGTCCCGCAGGTAGCCCGCGGTGTACTCCGTCGTCGACTTCGAGAAGCCGTGGAGCGCGTCGCTGATCGCGTAGAACTGGAGGCGCTCCGTGCCCTCGACGTTCCGCTGGAGCGCGATGACCGCCATGAAGACGACGATGTGGAACACGAAGACCGCGAGGTTCGCGTAGGACGCGAGCATGTCCGCGTTGTGGCGGAGCCGCCCCAGGATGCTCCGCCCGATCTTGTCCGCGAAGAAGGACGCGTCGGCCTCGCCCGACTTGAGCGCCGCGCGCCGGCCGCGCGCCGCGAGGTCGATCTCGCCGCGGTGTATCTTGTCGACAAACTCCGCGAAGTGGGGGCTCTCCTCGTTGAAGACGCCGTAGGTCCTAGCGAGGCGCACGGCGATCGCGTGGCCCGCGACCGCGTTGCCCCGACCGCCGAGCGAGTGCTCGTCCTCCGCGGTGATCTGCTCCCGCATGCTCGGCGTCAACTCGAGCGATTCGAACTCTTTGAGGACGAGGCGCGACGAGGCGGACCGGGTGAGGCGCGGGGGGAGGGGAGAGGAGGCGCCTTCGATGTCTGTTTGTGCTGACGGCGGGGCGCCGTTGTCTGTGTCGCGTGTGTTCGTCGACGCCATGGTCGACCGGGGCGATCCTTGATGTATTTTTGTGCCGATGGTGGGGCGCTCGCCGACGATTTCTCCTTTACTTTTGAAAGAAAATAGTGGCAAATACGAGCCGGCCCCCACGACGACCTTGGGCGATGGCCGAGTCGACGATCGATGGTGCCGGGCGATCCCCGCGGCCCTCCGCGCACCGGCCGGGGCGCCGCCGCCGGGGGCTCCGGCCGCGCCCGCGACGCCGCCGGTGCGCGTCCGATCGCGACTCGCGCGGCCGCGGCGTCCGCCCCCGCCGGAACACTCTTACTCGCGCGCGCTCAGTCGACCTTGATGGCGGCGTAGATCTGGAGGTTGAACCAGAGCGCGGCGAAGAAGCCGATGGCGCCGCAGAGGAGGAAGAACGTGAACGACGCGAGCGCCATGTAGCCGAAGTAGACGAGGCTCGGCAGGCCGCCGGGGATGTCGAGCTTCGCGTCGAAGTACCAGACGGAGTAGAGGAAGAGGTAGGCCGCGGCGGAGCCCGAGCAGAGGAAGGAGCGCCACCACCAGCGGTAGTCCTCGTTGCAGAGCTGGAAGTACGTGAGGACGATGGCCATCTCCGCGCACGTCGCCGTGAGGATGAGGAGCACGGCGACGAGGAAGCCGAAGACGTAGTAGATCTGGTGGAGCCAGAGCGCGGACATGATGAAGAAGAGCTCGATGCAGACCGCGCCGAAGGGCAGCACGCCGCCGAAGGCGACGGCGAAGACCGCGTGGCTGTACCACTTCTGCGGCGGGACGACGCGCGGGATCTGCTTCGTCTTCGTCGGGACCTCGAGCGCGGGCGCCTTGAAGCCCACGTAGGACCCGGCGAGCACGAGGGGCAGGCAGACGCCGACCCAGAGCAGGAGCCCCGCCACCGTCGCGCCGACCGACGCCGTCGGCGCGGCGCCCTGCGCGCGGAGCGCGGCCTCGAGCACAAAGGCGACGACGAGCACGGTCGCCGGGAAGAGCGTCGCGCCGAGGAGCGTCGTGCGCTTCCAGTCCTGGCCCCGGCAGAGCTTGTAGACGCGCGCGGACGCGTAGCCCGCGGCGCCGCCGTAGAGCACGAAGAGCACGACGAGCCCCGCGAGCAAACCGCCGCGGTTCGACGGCGCCAGGAAGCCCAGGAGCGCCAGCGCCATGACGCTGAGCGCGACGAGGAAGACCTGGACGCCCGTGCCCGCGAAGACGGCCAACACCATAGGCAGCGTCGCCGGCGGCCGGAAGACGTCGCCGTGGAGCAGCTTCCAGCCGCTCTCCTCCTCGTCGTCGGCCTCGAGGTTGTAGGAGGAGATGTCCTTGCGCAGCGTCCGGAGCATGATCATGGCGACGACGGCCGTGAGGAAGACGACGATCATGAGGCTGTTGATGATCGAGAAGTAGTGGATCTCGTCGTTGGGGTCGCCGTTGAGGTAGGCGTCCCAGCGCTCGGCCCACCGCGTCTCGCTGCGCACCCAGAAGACGTCGTAGGTGTAGACGACCTCCTGGGCCTCGTCGACGTCCTGGAACGTCTCGGGCCGGTGCCGCGCGGGCGCCATCTCGTTGCACGTCTTCAGCGTCGTCATGGGCCCGAAGGGCTCGTCGCCCTCGTCGTAGGCGTGCTTCACGGACATGGGCTCGACCTCGAAGCCGACGACGCGCGCGCCGGGCGCGCCGGGTTCCTCGTGGTACAGAAACGTGAGCCGCACGTGGTTGTACAAGTAGTGGTCGCGGCGGCCGCCGCGGTCCGCGACGGCGAAGCCCACGGGGAAGCCCCGCGCGACGTAGTGGTCGACGCGCATGGCCACGGGCAAACCGTCGGCGGCCATGGCCACGCGGTACTCGTTGTCGATCATCGCGCGGAAGAGCCGCATCTCCCCCTTGCTGTGGTCCTTGCGGCACAAGATCTTGCACCCGTCGGGGATCTTGGCCTCGACCTCGTAGAGGCTCTCGCGGAGGGCGTCGCCGTCGGCGCCCGTCTCGCCGCCGCCGGCCTTGAGCGCCTTGCGCCGCGGCTTGCAGAAGGGCAGCGCGTAGTAGTCGTAGGGGATCTGCGTCTTCGTGCTGCTCACCTTGGAGACGAGGAGCGGGACGCGCTCGCGCGTCCGGTAGCCCTTGGGCGCCACGCCGGGGAGCTGGAACGCCGCCCCGCAGGCCGCGAGGCCGACCCAGGCGACCGCGCGCATCGCGTCGATTATTTTTTGCGCAAAAGGTCGTACTTGACGAAGTCGTTGAAGGCGAGCCTCGCAGCACGATGTTTGTACCGTGCTAGGCCGCCCATGCGGCCGCTGCGCGCGCTGCTCGTCCTCGCAGCCGTCGCCGGCGCCGCCCGGAGGCGCGGCAAGACCTGCGTGCTGACCATCTCCTGCCTCAACAACTTCGCGCACGTGCTCAGCTTCTTCGAGGCAGCCCGGTCCGCGAACCCGCAGATCGACTGCTGGGCCTGGGCCATCGCGGACCGGCCCGAGTTCTACGCCGGCGCGAGCCCGCTGCTCACCGCCGAGGCGCGCGACGCCGTCGCCGCGCTGCGGCGCGCGCTGCCGGCCTACGCGACCGCCGTGACGCTCGACGACCTCCAGGCCGTCGCCGACTTCCCGCTCCTCGAGCTCGCGTTCAAGTACGGCCTCGTCGAGTTCAACACGGCCATCAAGGCCCACGCCGTGACCTACGCCTTCGACGTGCTCGGCGGCGCCAAGTGCCTCTACTTCGACAACGACGTCTGGGTGCTGCGGAGCCTCTGGGAGATCGAGGCGCTGCTCGACGCCGCGAGCGTCGTCGTCGCGCCCCACGTCGCCGAGCCCAACCCCCTCGACGGCCTCCGGCAGACGGACGCGCAGATCGGCCAGGCGGGCATCTTCAACTTTGGCTTCGTCGCGTTCCGCGACGCGCCGGGGGCGCGCGCGTTCCTCGCGTGGTGGTCGCAGCGGCTCCGGTGGCGCGGACGCCCGCGCCGCGCGGGTTTTGGACGCCGGCGCACGCGGGGGGGGGCGCGCGCAGGTACGGCTTCGTCGACGTGGCCCGCGGCATGCACTTCGACCAGGGCTGGGGCGACTTCGTGCCCGCGTTCCTCGCTGCGTGGAATTCGACCGCTGGTTTGGGTGGTCCTGACCAAACTTGAGAATTCTCGAGCTCGGTCACATCGAAGTCGATTCGGCTGATTTTTGGACGAATCGATTGCTCTCGTCGAGTTCTCGAAGCACGGCCGAAGAGATTGCGTCGAAACTGTCGCATATGCGCACATTGAAGTCGGATTGAAGATTTGAATTCCACACCAGGTTCCTCGACCGGGACGACTACCGCGTCGTCCGCGACCCGCGCTTCAACGTCGCCTACTGGAACCTGCGCGCGGCCGGCGCCCGCGCCGCGGCGCCGCCGGCGGGGGACGCGCGGCAACCAAACGCAGGCACTCGACGGGCCCCGAGCTCGCCTGGGACCGCGGGTCGCTGACCGTGCGCGGCGAGCCCGTCGTCTTCGTCCACTTCTCCGGCGTGTCGAACTTCGAGCACTACGACCCGAGCCGCATCTCGCGCCACCAGACGCGCTACCGCGTCGATGACTTCCCCGCCCTCGGGCCCCTCCTGGCGGCGTACACGCGGCGGCTCCTCGACCGCAACGCGTCGCGGTCTGTGTGCAAATCAACCAGTGAGCTGGGACGTCGGGGCCAAACTTGAGAATTCTCTAGCTCGGTCAAATCGAAGTCGATTCGGCTGATTTTTGGACGGATCGATTGCTCTCGTCGAGTTCTCGAAGCACAGCGGAAGTGCTCGTGTCAAACCATTCGAATACGCGCACATTGAAGTCGGGTTGAAGATTTGATTTGCACGCAGGTCGCGGTACCGCGCCGTGCCCTACGGCTACGCGTTCTTCGACGGCGGCGCGTACGTCGTCGCCGCCGCGCGCGACGCGTACCGCGGCGCGACGGACCTCGACGGCGACG